GTCCAGATTATATTGATGAAGCTGTGTCATCCTTGCTTGTAGGTAGCACTCTAGACACTTTATCTCTAAGACATATCTGTTTATTCCTTTGGCTGCCCATGAGATATTTAGGATTCTTCTTTAACACCACAATTTAAAGCAATCAATAATTCTTCTGCTATCCTTATGCGCTATCTAAGGTTCAGAAACACAGTCGAAAAGACAACATCAAGTGAACGTTAGCCTTTAATCTGACATCATTGTTCCTAAATTCTTTGGGAAATCTTTCAGAGCAGGCTTTGCTCTTGCCATACATCTTTTGATTTCCTGACTGCTGATGACAAGGGTGTTAACTGTGGAGCCTAGTGAGATGAAACCATTGCCAATTTCAATCTTTTCTCTATTTATCATGATGCAGTTTATTGGCCCTGTGGAGCAGATTTGTCTTCTTGATGTTGAGATATCATTCATATTGAAGGCTGTAGTCCTTGATCTTCTGTAGTTGTTCAAGTCCTCCTCACTTTTAGCAAGCAAAGTTGTGTCATCTGCATTTTACAGGTTATTTATACGTCTTCTATTCTGATGCCATATTCTTCTTCATAGAGTCCAACTTCTTGAATGATTTGTTTACCATACAGATTCAATAGGTATAAAGGATACACACATTCCTTGATTTTAAACAATGAAACTTTCACTTGTTCTGTTCAAATAATATTCTCTTGATATAAAAATTTTGGTTTTGTTGTATAAGTTCAAGTCAGAACCCACCTAAAGCTGATCTTCCAGTAGGTTCTTAGAGGTAGTAAATTACATGGGAGGAAGCTGCCCATTTTATGTTTTCCTGTGAAGCAGCTGGTAAATTTGAACTACCTGCCTTTAGATTGGCAGTGTAAATTCTTAACCACTAGGCCACTAGAACTGCATCCTCTCCAAGGCATATCAGTTTGTTATTTTGGAAATTAATAAGAAAGTCAGTACTCCTCTCCAACACCGCAAATCAAAGGCATCAATTTTTATCTGTCATTTTTATTCATTATCCAACTCTCAGATTCATAGCAAGGGATTTAAAAGACAATAGCTTATAGCAAGTGCACATTCTTAAAACTGAGATTATTGCTCTCCTGTATTTGGCAGAGCTATTTGAAACCAAACTTGTCCAAAGTAACATATCTTGTAGACTGCTCCTTGCAGAAGGACATCATGCTCAGGAGGGTGAAAGGGTGAACAGACAGCACAGGAGAGGAAGACCCAGGATGAGATGGATTGATACAGTAACTGGGGCAATGGAGTTTGGTGTTTTAGAATTAGTGAGACTGACTCAGAACAGGGAAGGGTTCAGAGCTGCTGTACATAGGGTTGCTATGGGTTGCATGTGACTTGATAGCACATAACAACATATTAAATTGGTAGTTTTTTACTTAACCCTCTAGTTTAGAGTCAACAAGACCTCTTGGAGGGCCCTTGTATTTAAAAATTGGGGGTGTGCAGCAGGGGGGGATTGTGTACCAATGAAGGAGTTTTTCTTTTGCTTTTCAAGGAGAGGAGTGAACTGGGGGAGGGGGTTTGAAAAGTGCAACAATGGAAGACTGGAATTCCAAAATCTCTATAGATGTTCATTGAAATTAAGAAAAAATATAAATTAAAAAAATTAGACGTTATTATATTTTGAATGAACATTCTTCTAAGTGGTTCAGCACTCTTTTGTCAATTTTCTGTACTAAGGTAACCTGGGGTTATTGTGATGCTGAACCATGTGCCGTTGGGCTGTCAAATGCCATAATGTTTATCCATGGTGGACAGTGTTTGGTGAAGCTCTCAGTTTAAGACAGATTTGGAAGCAGGAGTGACATCCATTCCTAAAGAACATGCCCCTGATAACTCTTTAAACTTTCAAAAACAACAATAGTTATAGAAAGGCTTCAGATCTTTTGTTCTAGGGTCACTATGCATCATTCTCAACTTGATGTCAATCATCAAAAACAATATCCTGACTGCTAGTACCAAGGGTATTGATTGTAGATCCAAGAAATGAAATAATTTTCACTTTAAATCTTTTCTCCATCTCTCCAGAGTTTGCCTACTTTCCCGGTGGTAAGACTTTTTGCTATTTTAAGGTTGAGACTTAATCCATGTTGAAGACTGTAGTCCTAGATATTCTGCAGCAAGAGTTTCAGGTCCTCCTGAAAAGAGGTCCTCCTCATTTTCATCAAGCAAGGTTATGTTATCTGCATAAGACAGGATGTTGATAAGTCTTTCCCTAATCCTGATGCTGTATTCCTCTTGACAGAGTCGAGCTTCACTAATTATTTGCTCAGCATAATGTAATTATACTTGAAATGTTATGGTCATGCAAGACTGACGGTATGACACTTGTAAGGATATTTACATTTTAATTGAAAAGTTTTACATTTCTCAACAGTAAAGAAACCATAAATTTGGTAAAAATGCTATTTTTCCACAGTATAAACTCATGATGTGTATTTTAATAATGTAAAAATTAATTTTTTGCAATATTCTTAGAAAGTTTTTGGCATTTAACTGATGTTTTAGATTCTACCAAAGGCAGGAGCAAATGTAGGTCATGTGGAAAATATCATACCTTTACCATGCTTTCTTGAATAAATGTAGAGTCAAATTGAAGTTCAACTAAAGGCCATTTGATAACGCAAATGCCAAAAATATGTATAATAATATTCATAATTTTATTTGCATTCTGTCTTTAACCTTTGGCTGGGATGAAAATATCATCTTTTGTTGTATGGAAAATACTTCTTGATAATAGGCATTTCGTCCTCACTCTACCTTTTTGTTTCCAACGAGAATAAAAAAACATTTTATGTTTTATAGGTAATAATTTTAATAGATAGACCCTCTTCTCATCATTTAACCTTTTAATATTGAGGGAATTTTAGATCACACAGAAAGAGCTCAGTCAAATTTACCTGGACTTGTGAGACTATTACCCACCATCTTGATTATTTCTGGGTTAGCCGGTGTGGGGTTTTTTTTTTTTTTGGTATTTTTGTATTATTTTTTGTCTCATTAGCTTGATATTCAATTATTGTTACATTTTTAAGCTGAAACTGTTTCTATAGTATATAGCTGTAAAATAATAATGTATTTTCTTTTTATGAAAGCTCATATTGTACAGTAAGAGAAAATGTCCACTTAATATTTTCATTTTTACTTATAAAATACAATTTCCAAATAACTTTCAATGAGCTATTTATGTTTGTGTTGTCATGCGGTATTGAATCAGAGCTGACTGATAGCTAACTCTTCAGGGGGCTTTCAGAGGTTAGGAATCACACGGGTGAAATGGTTCATCTTTCCTCCTCCTTCATACATTGAAAACTCAGCATCTAAGATACAATGGTGACGTGAGCTATTTGATGTCACTTAACAACAATAACAGTAGCAAAAGAAGTCTAGTTTATTATTTCATGCACATTTGATGTTTTTAGTTACAGTTTGATCCTCATTTACGAAATCCTTGCATAGTTTAAACAGACCCTGGATTACAAGACAAAATAATGGCAGTTGATTCCATGCAAAGGAAATATGTCTGATAATTTGTTCCCCAAAATGGCACAGCCTTGAAAGCTGTTAGGAGCAGTTCTACCCTCCATTAATGAAGTCACACTGAGTTCAAAGTGCTCATCAATTAATAAATACCTACATATGAGCTTTGGAAAGCTTGATAATATACAGCAGGAAACATCTTAAATTTATCAAACATGTCTGGTATGTTTGAACAAGGATAGAGCGGCGCTGAAGCTGTCAATCTAGATGGACATTTGAATCAGTTTTCTATGTCTATTTTGTAAACTAATACTTGAATGTTGACAATAAAATATTTTGGAGTAGCTTTAAGAAGTTCAAAATACATATAATTTCAGTTTTATTATGCTATTCTTTTTTTGTTTACATTTAAAACCCTACACACACACAAAAGAAAAAAAAATAAAACAACAATCAACACACTATTGTCAGAAGATGGTAGTTTTAATGTTGTTATGACATGCCATAGAGTCAACTCCAACTCATATCAACTCTACGAACAGTGACTCTGAAACACACTATTGTCAGAAGATGGTAGTTTTAATGTTATGACATGCCATAGCATCAACTCCAACTCATAGCAACTCTACGAACGGTACCTCTGAACCTGCATCCTTGCTCTACTCTGTGCCCTCCTCGCCACTCAGACACATCTGAGCCGATTGTTAAAAATTCTGTCAATTAATATCACTGAATTTTCTATGAAACTAATTCAAATAAAGCAATATAAGTGAGCAATAACACATGATCATTATTGAAAGTACACTACAGTAAATCTGAAACGCTAGCATTTAAGTCACGTTGTCCAATGTGTGCACACGTAACTATCCTCCCCTGGGCTATCTATTCACCCTGTTCCTCAACACGTCAAAGATGAAGCCAACTTCTGTGAAGGATCATTCTATTTTCTACAGTAAGTATTGTTTGATAAAACAGAAACAAGTATGCTTTTCCTATATACATATTTAAGTAGTGTTTCCCTTCAAACTTTATCTAGATTTGTGTACATTCCATGATGCAAATAAATATACATGTTATGGAGCATAACTGAATTGAACCTTGTCAAATTTATACTTTTTGTAAAATAATCATAACTGTAAATGCTTAGAATAAACATAACCATTTACTTTAGTTAAACCCATAACTAATATATTCCAGTAAGAAATAAAGTGCCAAGACCAACAAATATGCGGAAATGTTACAGTTTTCATTTGCAATCTGTGTCAATCTTTATTTTAACATGACATCACACTATGGCAAACCAAAATTCCAAGAAGTTAAAAATTTTCATCCCTTGAAAAAACTACAAGATAGAATTAAGGAAACTGAAAAATTGCTACTCCCATTTCATAGACATTTTCCTTATGTATTGATTTTGCTTATATTTTACACATACAAAATTGTACTTGCCTTCTATAAAAAACTAGTTTTATGTAATAGTAAATATATTTCAATCATACCTTGGTAAACAGCTTTAAATCCAGGTGAGCCAATGCTATCATCAGACTGTAGATGTAACCACATCTGGTTGCTCATACTCACAATCAGATCAGGAACACTGGATCCTGTCAATCTGAATACATGAGAAATGTTAAAATCATTATTTAAAGCAACAGATATATCAATTTTAACTTGGTAGCTCTCCTAAAGTTATATCAGAATTACGTGAGGATATGTTTAAGTAATACTTTTGTTATCCGTGTGAAACTTGGTGTGTATGTGTGTACAGATGTATGTGCATAGCACACATTTCACAGAGCCGCTTTAATTTTGTGTAGGTAACAAGACTGTCTATCAATGCTTTAGAACCATTTGTGATTTACCCTCCTAGTTAAATCTTAATATTAATGAGTACAGTTGACTAATTATTTGGTTCTACAACTGCAAATTGATATATTTTCATTTATAAACTTAGAGTAATAAACCACCTCTGTTTGTTTGTGATTGTAGGGCATTCTTCAGTGTGGGGTTCCAATATGAAAATTAGTAATATTCTGGGAACACAGCTGGATACACGCTGTGACTATGTGATACAAGCTACTGCAACATATAAGTACATAAAATAATTTCATGGAAGTATCTCTCAGCTAAGAAACTTGACTAGTTCATGAAAAAAATTCCTTAAGTTGTTTAGTCTCCTATTTTCATAAAGCTTTATTAAAAAGTCTCTTGTAAAAATATTTAATGAATATTATATTTATCATGTATTAAAAGCATTGTAGGTGTATTTTAAGTAGACCTGACAATAAATATCATATTTGCTATGTATTAAGAGAATAGTATGTGTATTAAGAGTAGGTTTGACAATCAATATTATATTTACCATACATTAAGAAAAGCATGTACAGTTGAAGTAACTTTGGCAACAGTTCCTTAACTTTCTCCTTTATTATTAATCTCCCGGTCATACCAAACAAAAGTTTCCATTTTCAATGAAGCATTGTATATAAAAAAAACAATCACATAGTGGCTCTTGTCAACTGATGAAAAGAAAGAGTAATTTCATTGACTGACCTCAATGTATTGACAGAAAAACATTTTGAGATGGGAAAAATGTAAGAAAAAATCAATTCAACCAAAACAAATGTCTCTAATCAAATAGGAAGCTTTGCTTTCAGTAAAGTAGTTTCTGGAATATGAACACACGATTTGCTCCATCAATCATATCATTTGTCTATCAACCCAGCATTTTCACCTCAGGCAGCAGAGAATATCTGACTTTTGAAAGGAAGACAAACAACAGTTATTATATATCAAGTAATAGTAACTTGTGTAAAGATGCACACAAACTGAAAAGAAGAAATTATTTCAGAAATTGATGTTCACTAACTAAATAAATATCTTTCTGAAGATATTTCCAGGCAAAATAGGCATTTTTGCCTTTTCTTTTTTTGCTTTATTGACTTGAATATTGTTCTTATTTATTCATATATTTTATCAGTATAGATTAAAAAGTTCATACTTCATAAGTATCTGTTACCATGAACTTTTACTAAGTGAACACATCTATTAAACAATATACAGCTCAACATGTGGAATATTACCATGATCTGAAAGTCTTTCTTGTGCTTCCTCCCTGTTATGTTCTGCTTCATTCTTATATCAGATGTATCTTTGAGGAAAGCAGAGGATACTAGAAACATGTTCTCTATAATGTATTCTATTGATTATGCAATTTTATTAATTTACAACAATTATGGATCATTTTGGGAACTATGGGAATGCTTGTTTGTGCTAATATGGAAGCTAAATATAGGTAAAGCGGCAGATGTTCAAATAATAGTAATGGATGTTGTGTTCTAGTTTTCAACTTTTATAGATCTCCTATGATCTGATAAACCAAAAATCTTAATTAAGGGGAGTATGCAGCTCAGCCCTGAGTAGATGTAAAAGGAATTATCTTGGAATGCACTCAGTGTAATAAAACATCAAAATCAGAACAGACTGTGTGCAAACATAAGGGGAAAATGACTATATTCATAGTTTATATGCTACTTTTGTTGTGTCATCATATTGTAACTGACTCCTAGTTGATTCTTGAGTATATCTTCAGAGGTTGTAAATTGCACAAGAAGAGACTGCCCATTTTTCTTCCACAAAGCAGCTGGTGGATTTAAACTGCTTGATCTTGAGTTGCCAGCTCAATTCCTTACCTAGTTGTTGTTGTTGTTGTTGTTGTTATGTGCCATCAAGTCATTTGCAACTCACAGCAACCCTATGTACAACAGCCCTAAACCCTGCTCTATCCTGTGCCAATCGCATTGCCTCTGACACACCCATCCCAATTACCCCAGTTACTGAATCAATCCACCTCATAGAGGGTCTTCCACTCCTGCGCTGTCCCTCTACTCTACCCAGCATTATGTCCCTCTCTAAAGACCTGTCTCTCCTTATAACAGGTCCAGAGTATATCAGACAAAGCCCCAGAATCCTTGCCTCCAAGAAGCCGCCTGGTTTAACCCTCTCCAGGATGAATCTGTTTGTTTTCTTGGCAGTCCAGGGTACATTCAGTGCTCTTCTCCAACACCACAGCTCAAAGGTGTCAATTCTCCTTCTATCCTCCCTAGTTTTTGTCCGACTCTCTGATGCATAACAAGTGATTGCAAAAATCATGGCCTGTATCATGCGCACCTTAGTCTCCAGAGAGACACCATTGCTCTTCAGTACTTTAGAGAGGTCCCTAACAGCAGGCTTTCCCATCGTAATACTTTTTTTTTATTTCCTGGCTGCTGGTGCCAAGAGTGTTGACTGTGGAGCAGAGAAACTGAAGCTGTGAACAATCTCAATCTCTTCGCCATCCATCCTGATGCTACCGATTGGTCCAGTGTTAAGAATGTGAAACTCCCTATAACTGTTCTAAAATATCTAAAACATACATAAAGTATTTATTTTCCAATTCATAAACTGTGTACAAATTGATCTATAATATTAATTGTAATTCCCTCAATCCACCAACTCTCTCTTGTACTTCTCTGGATTCCATGACGTAGTCATTTCCTGATTTCTCATCTTTGGCTTTCGGCAAATGACTTTTTGGTCTTGTATATTTGTTTGTTCTTTGAAGCATATTCTTTCTAAGAGTTATTTTTTTTTTGTAAGTCTATTAGTTGACTAAAAATATAGCCTCTAGAAGTATCTTAAGTTTTAACTTAGAAGGTTGGTTTTGAGTGTTAAGTATTGGGAATACCTAAATCTTTTTCAGAAAAGTAAGTTTGATTGATTGCTTTTATTTACTTCCTGAATTTCAATTTTGTTTCCCATATTTTGTCAATATAAGAACATTCTATTGTGATTTTGATCAGAAACATCACTAGTAGCAGCAGCTGGCACTATTTAGTACTTCAGGTCTCAAATACAGTGTTGTTGTTGTTGTTTCTATGTGCCGTCGAGTTACTTGCGACTCATAGTGACCCTATGTACAACAGCCCTAAACTCTGCTCTATCCTGTGCCAACCGCACTGCCTCTGACACACCCATCCCGATTATCCCAGTCACTGAATCAATCCACCTCATATCGGGCCTTCTTCTCCTGTGCTGTCCCTGTACCCTACCAAGTATGATGTCCCTCTCCAAGGACCTGTCCCTCCTTCCAACATGTCCTAAGTATGTTAGACGGAGCCTCAGAATCCTTGCCTCCAAGGAGCAGCCCAGTTTGACCCTTTCCAGGATGAATCTGTTTGTTTTCCCAGCTGTCCATGGTACCCTCACTACTCTTCTCCAGCACCACAGCTCAAAGACATCAATTATCCTTCTATACTCCTTGGTCATTGTCCAACTCTCTGATGCATAACAAGTGATTGCAAAGACCATGGGCTGTATCAGATGCACATTAGTCTCCAGAGAGACACCATTGCTCTTCAGTAATTTGGAGAGGTCCTTAACAGCAGACTTTCGCATGGCAATACGTCTTTTAATTTCCTGACTACTGGTGCCAAGAGTGTTTACTGTGGAGCCATGCAAACTAAATCTGTGAACAATCCTCAAATAGAGTAGGCTGTGAAAACTGCTTTCTTAAGTCTTATTTTCTTTCTTTTCCTTTTCTCCAGGCATGAATAAATCAGTAGTAACTTCTAAGATGGCTTCTCACAAGGTTTTAAGAGCCCAAATATTATTCACTAGAATTTGATGTTGATATTGTTTGATAGTTTCCACATTCACTTGGACTACTTTTTTGGGGGGATGGGAACAAATGTGGACCTCTTCCAATCCATTGGCCAGATAGCTATCCTCAAATTTTCTGGCATACACTGGTGAGCTCATCCAAGCCTGCATCTGTTAATTGTAACAAGTCAATTGAGAAAGCCTTACTTTTTGTCAGTGCCATCAATGCAGCTTCCACTTCTTCCTTCATTAAAACTATAAGACAGTTGGCATTTACTCAAAATGTTGAACATAGAAATACCAAATGACTCAGTCTATTACTAGGAATAAACCCCAGGAAAAATAGAACTGAGAGACAAAGGGAGATTTGTACCCCGGTGTTCATAACAGTGTTATTCACAAGAGCAAGAAATTGGAAACAGCCCATATGTACATAAATAAATGAATGGATTGAAAAATTATGGTACATTCACACAACAGAATATTATGTAGACCAACAAGCAGTCCTCAGAACAGAGAAAGGAAACACTGGATCATTCAATATCAAGAAAGGAGTTTGTCAAGGATGCATTCTGTCCCTGTACCTTTTCAATTTGTATGCAGAACAGATCATTCAGGAAACAGGGCTTTAAGGGAGGAGTGTGGCATCAAGATTGAAGAAGACTAACAACCTATGATATGCAGATGACACAACGTTGTTTGCTGAAACTGAAGAAAACCTGAAGCACTTGCTGCAGAAGGTCAAGGATTGTAGTCTTCAATATGGACTGAAGCTAAATATCAAGAAGACAAATATTCTCACCACATTTCCAATTGGCAGCACAAGGTTAGATGGAGAAGAGATGGAGGTTGTTAGCAATTACAGCTCAGAGCCACAATCAACATTCTTAATACCAGCAGTCAGGAAACCTAAAGAAGAATTGCATTGGGATAATCTGCGGTCATGGACTTCTCCAGAGTGCTGAAGAGCAA